CTCCTCTCTGTCTCTCTCCCTCTCTCTCTCTCTCTCTCTTTTCAGTGAAGAGTTGTATTTTTCTTAATCCCCTAACATGCAGATATTCACAGGGTGTCAAAAGATCTAGAAGGTAATAAACGGCCTCTCTTCATGACCTTTCTGATAATATTCAATGTGTTGATTGATTGTAATGTATTTCTTTTTCTCTTTCAGCGGGACAGGAGATGAAATCAAGAATATTGGTAAGCCCGTAACGGTCCAGTTGTAAGAATACTTTCTGTCTTATATCTGTGATCCTGAGCGCAGACTCTGTGTTTTACTCAACAGGTGATTAAAGCAGCTGCAGACTGTGCCCTCCAGTACATGAACTTCATGAATGTCATTTTTGCTGCTCAGAAGCAGGTCAGAGCTCTTTTTTTTTTCTGTATGCATTTTGTAACTTTACACCCCCCCAAAGAAAACCATCTAAATAAAAAAAAAAAGTAAAATCTTTTTTGTGTTGTAAAACAGAATATCCTGATAGATGCCTGTGTGTTGGACTCAGAGTCAGGCCTTCTCCAGCAGGTACGATCCTCTGGACTACATCCTGCACTATGTAGAATCTGAGGACAGCAAACTATAAATGCACCAACATAAAGTCACAATTCATGAAGATACACATCGAGGTTAAGCTGCTCTCACATCACGTTGTCTTGACTTTTAAGCCCTGTTGTTTGTCTTGCAGGCTTGCGATATAACTGGAGGATTGTACCTGAAGATCCCACAGAAACTCGCCCTTGCTCAGTACCTCTTGGTGAGTAACTGTACAGCAGAACTGTAACGATTAGACTGCACAGATGAAGCTCAAAATGATTATTTATTTGATAATTGGAATTACAGGATGCCCGTAGCCTAGTGGTTAGTGTCTGAGCAGGCGGCCTAGGTTTCAGGTCCAACCTAGATTTCTGTCTGCTGGCCAAGGAAGTAGGGTACAAGAAGAGGACGACAGCTGGATCAAGTCTGTCTGCATGGAAAAGTTAGAGGAGGAAGCGTCAAGACTTTTAATAGACTGTGAATACATGAATCCAAACCTTTTATATTCTTAATTTAATCAGATATTGTGATGTTTCATTATGATTTTAAAGATATTAGAAATGGCACACATGAAGAGAGACAGGAAATGATGGGAGGAGAGAGTGGGGGGATAACGTGCAGCAAAGGGCAGAGGCCGGATTCAAACACCGGACTGCTACGGCGAGGTCTATAGCCTCTGTACATGGGGCACGGCACATAACCACGAGGCTATCTGATGCCTCAATATCATTATATGAGCGTCTTTCAATAAAATCAGTTATCACAGAATCGCTGTATCGTGATATTATCGTCACCATGGGTATCGCACATTATCGAAGTGTCTTAACGTTCATATTAAGAGTCCCTCCCTTACTCTGGAGGTTTTGATCAAAATGACCATTATAAAAAGATTAAAAGCAGCTCCTTTTAACGTCTGAACCTCACAGACTTGTGACGGTTAATTTGAGAGAAATGTCAGATTCAGACGTAAAGTATTAAGTCTAGTTTTAGCTCTCAGCTGGAACATGTAAGTATTATTTCTGAGTGTCTGAAGTAAAGTAAAGCTCGTCTTTGTGTTTTTCTGAACAGTGGGTGTTCCTGCCCGACTCGGAGCAGCGCTCACAGCTGGTGCTGCCGCCGCCTGCACACGTGGACTACAGAGCCGCGTGCTTTTGTCATCGTAACCTCATTGAGATCGGTTACGTGTGCTCGGTTTGTCTATCAAGTAAGTGTACTTAAATGCTCCAAAGGACCATGACAGCAGTCTGTATTATGCTGGCTGACGCTGCAGTGATTGTATTTGTTTCTCTTTTTCTTCTCTTCAAGTATTCTGCAACTTCAGCCCGATCTGTACAACCTGCGAGTGAGTCTCTCATTTGAAACTGATTCATTAACACGTTATTCTAAACCTCTCCTCTGACCAGTCGGTGGTTTAAATCTTTAAAAAAAGATGACTTCATTACCTCATTATTTATGTCTGCTTTTTGTTTTTAGGACTGCCTTCAAAATCCAGCTACCCCAGATGGTCAAGCCCAAGAAGAAGAAGCTGAAGCAGGCCACATGACGTTCTCTGGGATCAAACTCGTGTTGTAAATAAAGTTTGTTTACTTTTTAAAACTTGGATCACATCGTTTTGTTTGGTGGACATCTGATACTAACTAAAGGAAATCCTTTAAAGGCCTCTGAGGCAGTGAGGCTGAACGCACATGTAGACGAGGTAAAACATGAATGCTCTTTATTTACAGTGACCTGTTCTCAGAATAGAACTTCATAATTCAATTTTCTAGTGTTGCAGTACTGGAAATCGGCCTTGGTCTCGAGACCATCTGTGGAAGGTCTCGTCTCGGAATCAAAATCATTTTTACTCGCCAGACTCTGGATTTTAAATGAAGACCGGTCAAGACCACGACTGATAGGCTACTTTCCACATCATCACTGTGATTAGAAGGAAAATGCTTCTTTCTTAAACAACAAATAACTTCAATTAATTTTCAGTTTTTCCCCCGGTTACAGCCTTCCTGGTGTTGTGGTCTAAGTTAGTGGCACGCCCCCTTCACAAAAGATGATGATTTTTATTGATATTTATGGTCTCGGTCTATGTCTTGGTCTCAGAGCACTCCGGTCTCGGTCTATGTCTTGGTCTTGGTCTCAGAGCACTCCGGTCTCGGTCTATGTCTTGGTCTTGGTTTTGGTCTCAGAGCACTCTGGTCTCGGTCTATGTCTTGGTCTTGGTTTTGGTCTCAGAGCACTCTGGTCTCGGTCTATGTCTTGGTCTCTGAGCACTCCGGTCTCGGTCTATGTCTTGGTCTTGTCTTGGTCTTGAGCACTCCGGTCTCGGTCTATGTCTTGGTCTCGGTCTATGTCTTGGTCTCGACTACAACACGACCATTTCCCTCTCCAGAGTTTCCAAAGTTCAACACCAACCAAAACATTTCCTTCTTCTTGAAAAAAAACATTTTTTTACAAACCTTTTGTAAATTTGTGATTTTTATCATATCATAAAAAAATATCACATGTTCTGAGACATTTTTGTTAATTCTTTATTTGACGTTTGTACATGAATATACTCTGAAGTGTTCAGATCTGTTTTTTTATTATCAATCAGTGTGATGTGTTGAGGTGGAAACATGTTTCTAAATGGATTCATTGAATCTTGTTCAGCTTTGAAACAAGTTTTAAACTTAAAGAAAACCAGAGGTGTGCATCGTGTATGATCACAACCTGAAGAGAAAATCACGGGAGTTCACCCGAAACAAATCTATAATAACATCTTGTTTATAGCCTCCTTAAAAAGGGGCGCACAAACTGAGCAGTAGGCCAATGGTTCCCAAAGTGGGGGTCGCAAGATTCCCTCCTAAAACATAGAAAAATCAAACTTATCTTATCCTTTATTGAGAAAATTAATCTAAAAAAGTAGTTCTAGAGATGACGAGGTCTGCTTCTTGCGTTTCTTAGAATAAATTACTAAAATAATATTACGTGTAACATAATATAATGCGTTCGGGATGTTGTGTTTTGTGCTGTTGTAATGACAATATTCAGATAGTCATAACAGTGTGAAACATTAAATGTTAAACACCTCCAGGGACACAAGGAGGTCACCAGTGGCTAGCACAGTTATTTTGGGTGAAAAATGTTGGAACCCCTGCACAAGTCTACCGCCACCGGTCCCCTTAATATTGTTTGCAGCTGCAGCACGGGTGAAAAGCCCAAGACAAATTTCTCACTTTGTGAAAGTTAATGAATCATGTTTCATTTTTTTTTCCTCAAATTAAATAAAAAAAGCCTCGATCAGAGTTTTATTAATTCCAAAGTCTCCCGTCATCGTGTTAATGTAAGATCATCACTGACTCACTGCAGAACATTCAAACTGTGTATATCCTGTGTTAACTCCCTTAAATCCTAAATGTTGCTATAACAACAAAATAACTCACTGCACAAACATCAGTGAATGAAATGGGTTGAATGAAGAGACTTTAAGTTAAGCCATGCTCCTGAAGGCATCCACTCCTCAAGTCAACAACCAGGTGTGTGAACAGAAAAGATTCTTGAGAGGTAAAGGAATGATTTTTTATTCAGTAGAAGTGTATGTGTATGTGTGTGTGTGTGTGTGTGTGAGAGCAGTATGTACAAAGTGTGTTTGAAACCATCCATGGTCTCACGGGGAAAGTGAGTGATGATCGTGTTTATCGATGGATTGGAACAATGTTGCATCTGAAAAAGAAAACAACAAGAAATTAGAGGACTTTAGTCCATCATAATATTTCTTATGATACAACACACTGTGCCTCTTTTTCCAGGACATTATCGGTGATCATTTAGCATCGTGCCAGTGCACGAGAAGTCAGATTCCAAAGACGTGCAGTTTGGTGTGTGTGAATGAAGCTTTACTGAGTCACCTACCCGAGCAGACCTCGGCCTGACCACCTCTGTGGGGTCAGGCTCATCTGAGCTTTCTGGCCACCCCGGATGACTGAGACGCGTAACGGCTTCTGCAAAACAGAGGTCAGAGACAAGATCACAACACAAAATGACATTAAGTGTGTAACCAGAAATCAGAGGAGTAGAAATCAGTGACTATCTACTGTCCTAACTCTAAATGAAAGCATAAAAAGCCCAAAAATAAACTCTTAAAAAAAGTCCCAAATCATGAACATTTGTTTTATTGCTGCACCAAAACTAAAAAAAAGTAGCTGTATATGATGTCAGTATCGTACCCCTTCACTGTGCTGTACCACGGATGCGATGTTCTGCAGGTTCTGGAAGTTCCCCGTGTTCACCGACCCAAACTCGATGACTTCATCGCCGACCCTGAGCCCCTTTTGGAAAGAAACAACAAAATGTTACTATAGAAACAAGTAAAGCTACGCGGAAAGTCTTTAATTAGAAAAGATACATCTGAAACAACAGCCAGATCGAAAAAGTAAAGTTGCTGTCCACTCACAGCTCCACAGGCAGGGGAGCCTTGGGTCACAGCATCCACCCGAGCAAACGGAGGAGGAAGAGTGACCTGAAGCTCCATGGCGTCGCCCTGAGCTCCAGCCTCGTCCTGCTCCCGCTTTGCTTTCTCTCGAGCGTGCAGTTGGTGCAGAGCTTCTTCGATCTCTACCATGATGGCCTTGTGATCATTCTGCAGGCCTGACGAACAAACAAACGAGCAAAAGTTGATTTTTAAATCTCAGTGTTTAGAAATTAACTTCTGAAATGATGAAGGTTAAAAAAATAACTTTGACATTTCAGTCTGTGTCGATTTTTGTTACTGGTATCATAGTTTCTTCACCAAACCATCGACATTTAAAAATAAAGCAACCCCTGTTGAGCTTACATACGTCACAAAAATCTATGCACGTAAGGACAATTTAAATCAGTACTCTTCTTAACCAGCAGAGGGCGCTACATGATTACATAATTTTGAATTTGCACAAAAAAATATGCATTGTTAATTAGTAACAATACAACTCCCATATTAAAGGCTTTATATGTGATTTTTTGATCCAGCAGATGTCGCCCTTGAGCACCAGCATGAAACCAAAACAACTCGCGCTGCATTGTTGTGTTAGCATGCTAATGCTAGTGATCTTTATTATGCTGGTATCTTCACACTGCATGTAAATTTACCTGAAATGAGCGTGATCTAGAAACACAGTTAAGCAGTGAGTACAGTATGTTATTCTTCTTTTCTCTAGTCCCTCAATTAAACAACTTTTATACGCGAGGGGAGGAGTCAGCCGGCCGTCCTGGCGATGTAAACAAACTGAAGATAGGACTCTGAAAACTCTGAAAACATCACAGACAGTGGGACTCGGGTGTTACACCCATTGTAGACAGTCATGACTCACAGAGTTATTTTCAGAGGATATACTTGATTTATATTATATTTAAGAGTGAAAAATCAAAGAAAATAATACAAATGTTATTTATATCACCTTTAAAAACAGGTTTACAAAGTGATTTCACTTACAATAAAATAACACAAGGAACAAAAACAACAACAAAACCATCACAAGGCCCTTTTTAAGAACCCATTGTATGAATGTGTTTTACTACATTAAGGTGACTTGTTGACTTTAAGGAAACAGCTGATTGGTCCTGTGAGCAGGAAGTTGTGACTAAGTGAAAACATTAAAACATTTTATAAACTCACATGAAATATCGTGTCTCGCTGCTCTGATCTGGTATAAATTAACATCTGCTCTGGGGAAGCCCTCTTCGTCAACCAGAGGACCTTCAACCCCGACACCCTGCTGTGAAAAACATGTTTTCATATTTAATCTGTTGATGTGCAGGAGCGTCACAGTGACGTGTTGACGTTTTAAACTGTGAGACACACTTACGTCCTCCAACACGTCGTAATAAGCCTTTATCTGCTCTTCAATGTCATCTTTCTTTTTGACGAGGTTTCTAACGTCCTTCATGGATATCTCAGACTTTCCAGAGCTGTTTTCCTCTGTCATCTTCATGGCTGCTCACTCACTACTCCAGGAAGAATTACAACGGCGCACGTCCTGCGCCTGCGTCATGTAAATACCTGTGACGTCAGGCTTCTTCGTCTTTCTGGTTTATAGCAGTGTGAGCGCGAGGTTACTGCCCCCTACTGGACGGATTTAAGAGAAACAACAGGAGAAATGTTTTTACGCAAGTATACAGAATCAGAATCAGCTTTATTGGCCAGGTATGCTTAAACACACAAGGAATTTTACTTTGGTAAAATGTGCTCTCTTTGTACAAAGGTATAATATCAAATATCAACAATAAACACAAAAATAAACAAATAAGCAAAGACTAATATGTACAAGGCTAAATAGGATAATATAAGAATATAGTGCAGTGGTGAGTAGTGCAAAGATGCTGAAGTAAACTTTTTTTTAAAATACTTTATTGCAGGCTGTTTTACTTCATTACAACAAGTTGTCATATTTCATCACAAATTCTGTTCATCCTGGCACACATATATATATATATTTAAACATACAAGAATACAACATTAAATAAAATAAAAATCCAAAGAAAGGGTACAAAGAGAGAAAAGATAATTAAATTAATATTTAGAGAAGAAGAAATGATACTAATAATAATAAAAAATATATATATATTAATCAAATTAAAATAAAACCGTAAATAGCATGGGGCGGGGGGGGGGGGGTTGTTCCTTCACTACTCTCTTAATTTAATATAATTTAATTTACATACCTGTTATTATTCTACTTTATCTGTTTCCTTTATCCATTTATGCTGAAGTAAACACGAGGTAGTTTTCACAGTATTTACATTAAAAAGTGTGCGTATCTGATAATTTAAATTAAATAATATATATATATATTCTGCTAAGAGAATTGTAACATTGTATATGTTCATTCATTGTGACAGTTTTGTTCCAGGGTTACTTCACAGCGACAGGTCTGACACTCTGTGACTGTTTAACGTTCATCAGAGTGACAGCCTGGGGGAAGATATTGTTGTTATGGCGGGTTGTTCAGGCGTACAGTGTTCTGTAACGCTGTCTGGAGGGGAGGAGTTTGAGAAGTTTGTGTTCAGGGTGTGAGGAGTCTGCAGTGATACTACCTGCCCGTTTCCTGGTCCGGGACTGGTATAAGCAGTGGTAATGAAAATAGACATGTAGGTGGCGGTGCTATTTATTTAAGTGTTGTTTAATTATTTTAAAACATTTTCTTTACTTAGACCAGATTTTTGACATTTTCTTTAACTATATTCATTTTTTGGTTAATTTAGTTTTGCATAGTTAATATTTTTGTTAGGTATTTTGGTAACACTGCTAGCACCTGAGGTTATATAGGTAAGAAGGCAGGGAGAGGTAGCAGGAGCTAGGATTTTCTTAGTTTTTCTGTATGCTTGCATGCTTTTTGTCCCAAATAAAGCATCAGAAACAAAGATATTTTGCATGGACAAAGAATATCTGCATACACCACATGAAAATCAGCAAGTTAGTAAGAAGTTTATCTGTTTTCATACCCGATGTTTTAAACACGACTCAGGTTGGCGACATGTTCTATAAAAAAAGTGTCGGATCATAAAAAGAAAACGACAACAAGTCATATTGGTAAATCATATAAGTGACTTTAATATCATATTTCATAAAATAATTACATAAAATCTTTAATCCTTTAATTTCTTCAGAGACCCTTCAATAGTTGTGAGGAGCGGGCACCTTCTGGAAACATACAGACAGTAAAATGTGTGACAAATAGCTTTCACCCAGGTTTGTTATCTCTGTACAGACAATGAAGGCAGCTTATCGGGAACCGTTACACAGAACTGAAAAAACATTTGAATGAACACACCCCCTGACCAGTTATCTAACATTTCTCCGGCAGTGTACGTTTTAATTTCACAGTAATCTACAGATAGGCACGACGGTACAGGCTGTTAATAAAGTGAATATCAAACAAACCCTCCTTAAGTCTAAGGTGGCGTAAGTGCTGAGTACCCTGAGTGCTTTCATTTTAATTATGATCTGTTTCTAAAACTCAACGTGTTTTTTTTTTTTTGTTTTTTTTTTAAATGGTCTTCACCTTGGAACGGGATACAAGTGCAACTCGTGTTTAAAAACAGTCATTAAAAACTTCTCTGTGCTCAGCGACGCTGCCTTCTGTGAGACGTTTTCCTTCATGTTTCTGTGGTTTCAACTTGTGCAAGTGTGGCATCAGAATAAACATCGCTATTTGTACTGCAGCCTGAAAACGTTACTGCTGATGATTGCAAAGAGTCAAGTACCAGGTTAGGTGTTTTTAATATTGATATGGCTAACAGTCTGTGTCTTTTGGACCTGCCTGTTTATCCTTAAGCACCAGCACAGACGGCTCCTCGTTAGCCCCCTGCTTCGATGCATTACTAGATGAGGATGAAGTATCTAGTGAGAGCTCAGTCTGAGCCGTAATCTCCTTCTGTACGAGAGCAAACTGAGCCGTCGCTTCATCCAGCTGGAAATTAACTGCTTGGACCCACTCCTGTAGCTGCATGTTGAGAGCATCCATCCCTTGGTCCAGCTTCTCCTGTCTGCCCTGTAGCTCTTGTAACAGGTGTTGTGTGTCGTTAGCGATCTGCAGCCTCTTGGTCCTGACGGCAGGAGCGCGTCGACGCAGCATGTAGCCGTCGAACTCTTCTGGACTGAGGTTGAGTGCTGGTCCGTCCAGCTTTTCAATGAAGGCCACCGCACAAGACTAAGATGGGGTGGGGGGGGGGGGACGACATGGGAAAAGGCATGAGTGACCAGCAGACATTGTTAAGACAGAAACCTGCACACTGGCTTGCACCAAAATGTAGCTAAGCTTGAGCTAAACTTCTCATTTCAGCTGAGATAGTTCCAATGTAGGCATCTAAATCTGACATTTAGAAGGTTTAAAGTCGTCCAGAAAATACTGCCGTCAGGGTGTATCGTTGTGAAAGGTGGGATCACTTGGAGGGACGGGAAGGAGCAGGAGTTTTAGCTGCTGTTTGGTCTGGGCAGTGATGACTATGTTTTGTTTTGAGCTGAGATCATTTCATCCTCCCAATACAGAGTGCCGTTAAATCACTTTATGTTATAGTTATATATTTCACCACTCCTTTTTTTAATACTAGCTCAGGGTTCCCACTCTTTTCCAGGACATTCTCAGCGATGATCAGCTGGTATGACAGTCCGTGATCGTGCCACACCAATATGAAGTGTCTTTAACAAGACTAATCACACCCACTGTGAGCTACCGCTACAAAGCTATGTTGATGTGCTGACCTCAAACTGAGGAGAAAACACAAGTTTACCTGACAGTTGTTGCCACAATTTACTCTCATGGTGTATTTTTCTCTTTTTGTGAAGGATCTTTTCGCTCCATCCTCTCAACTAAATTGTAAATAAATATCCACTTCTGACACGAGGGGGAGGCGGAGCCATTAGATTATCTATAGACTTCCATTCGATCTGCGTTGTGGATTAATGTAACAAATAAATACTTTTATTAACGTGTGGCGGTGAAAATGTCCAACTCTGTAGGAGAGTGTTGGAATAATTGTCCAGGACATTTTACTTTTCTCTCGTTTTCCAGTACTGGAAAATTAGTCAACTGTTTTCTAGGTTTTCCAGGACGAGTGGGAACCCTGTAGCTGTTGATTATAAGTGTGGCTTTAGTTATCACCTAATCATAATTATGTTATATTTTGCAAACTTTTTCTTTGCTGTTTGTTGATTCACAGCAGTAAATGTAAATTATTTTCAGCAGTGAGTCTGTTAAGGACAGTTGGACACACGAGGCAGAACTGAAACAAACATTAAGAAAAAGGCTTTCCACTGATAGGTCACATGAAGTGGTAACGTCGTGTCAGCAACAATATTTTGGTTAGTTTGGACTTTACGCTCCAGAAGTTTAGATGAACGTTATGTCCCTTTGGTGCAAACAAAAAACTGAAACAACCCAAGTTACAAACTGACTGTTCTTATGTATGATTCAGTGTGGACTCAAACTCAAACATAGCAGGTGCAACAGGCCACATGGTGTGTAACGCTGGATGAGTAAGTGGGCTATAAACGTACCAAATTTGTGAAATAGTAGCCGCTCTCTCCGGCCATCAGACTGTGAGGGAGTCCAAAGCGAATCACGTACTGCATGTTGGAGTGAAGGCGAGGTGGATTGGCCTTCAGCACCACGTAGATCAGGCCTGACAGGAAGTCGTCGGCGTTGGCGGGCTCACTGTTCGAGGAGGAGAGCGCTTCAAAGACATGTTGACTGCATTTGGACACACATGCAAGTTTGTCCTGTGGCGCTCTTTTGGCGTCCATTTCAATTATGGCTGTTAAAAATAAAATAAAAAAAACAGAGGGCGGGAGAACAAAAGGAGCATCTCAGTCAAAATAATGAAGACTCAGTATAAGACAAAACAAACATCATGGGCTGATGAGTTTAAAGGAGTAATTCAACATTTGGGGAAACACTTGTTTACTTTATTAAAGAGAGAGAAAGACGAGAAGACCGACAGCACTATAATTAATCCATCATCTATACAGGCTCACAGAGGAACTGAAGAAAATCCCAGCTGTCATTGGGCGAAAGGTGGTTTATGATATGATACGACATGACACAACACAATATGATATGATACTCTTATTTGTCCCATTAGGAATGTTTATCTTGGACTCAATGGAATGGCAATACACAAGATATACCTGGATTTGTTTTTCTCTCTGAAGAAATAACAAAAGCAACGTTGGTTATAAGTCAAAAGCACAAAGGCCAAATGTCCCACTTTTAAAGACAGCCTGCAGCACAATGTCAACATGAACACGAAGAGAAGCACATACCAATGAAAACCACACAACAGAATGTACTCTGTATAAGACACAACACAACTAAGCGAGAATACAGGACACTATACCACAACCCATACAGCCTTAAGAACCATTATTCAAAATTATGATCAAGGCAAAGACACCACTCAAAGACACCACTTGCAGGAATTTTTTCACTTCTGTTTGAGAACAATAAATCAATCAAAGTCGATCTTGAAGGATTCTTCAAGTTGGGCCTGGTGGGTTCAT